CAGAAAATGTGTGTGTGTGTGTGTGTATATATATATATATATATATATATTCCTGCAAAACAAAACAAAAAAGGTTTGTTATTTATTTTAGTGCAATGTCATCTGTAATTCTTCTGAATTTGTTTCCACAGGTAAAGTAAACCTTTATGATCTAGTTGCCTTCACGAAGGAGAGTGTAACTTCTCATGTTGTTACTCTTGGACCTCAGAACTTTCCTGAGAATGACAGACAGCCGTGGCTGGTGGACTTCTTTGCACCTGTGAGTAGAAGCGCGTTTTCTTTAGATTTGTCCCATTTTTAAGGGTGTTTTAAAGTCTGCATTTTCCTAATGAAAACTTGCTCATCCTGCATTATTTTGCTGTTTTTCTTTTTTTTTTTATTGTAATCATAATTTTGGGTTGTTTATATGTGCAGAAACTTACATGGTATTCTGTTTTGATACGTAGTGGTGTCCTCCGTGCAGAGCTTTACTTCCAGAATTGAGAAAAGCCTCCAAAAGAATGTTTGGCCATGTCAGATTCGGGACACTGGACTGTACAATCCATGAAGGCCTGTGTAACACGGTACTTATATAATGCTTCCTTTTACATGAGTAACATGCCGTGACATTCATTGAAGCAACTTATTTAAACTGTATTTCAAACTATGATTTTGGTCAGTGTTAAAGCGTATATCTGCTTTTGCTGAGAAATAAGCAATCCTCCCCTGGTCTCTCAGAGCAACCTAAAGCTGGCCATACACCTGTAGAATTTTGTTGTGAAAATGTTTTTTTGAATAATTTGTAGGAGCAGGATGACATTTTCCCCCAAACCTATTTAAAAATGTTGAAATCAAACGAACTTCGAACATTCTGCAAGTCTCATGTCATTATAGAGTGTTCTGACAAAATCTTTCGTAGGGATGTTTGCACTAAAATTTACCAGTGTATGGCCAGCTTAGTAGGCCATCATTTCGGGAGATGTAACATACAAGAAAGTGAGCATTCCACTTACGGTCCCTGTGTAGACTTTTTTGTGTACTATAAAAAAAATGTCATAATGTTTTACAGGCCCTCCATTAACTGTGGACAGTCGCATGTAGTTTATTTAAATAGCACTTACCACTTTAAAACTCAAGGACAATAAAAATGTTTTGTTAGATTTGGACACAGCGGGGAAGGGTCAGACCTCCGTAATGTTTTATAGCTGAAGTGTAATACAATTATATTTTGCCTTCCCTGGTTCCCCTCCTCAACATAATGACATTTTTATATAAAACCTTTCCATTTTCATCACATACCTTATTTGAGACCCAGTTATGTCATTATTGGGTATATGTGCTTCTCTATCCAGTGCAGGGAGATTCAGATGGTGGTGGGGGGATGGTGTTTGTGTAAGGGTGCTGTACATAGTTTTTTTGTTTTTTTTTTAATCATCACAGCACCCAACTTCAGTACTATTCTCAGCAGCCCTCAGCCCTGAAGCGAGCAATGAGCTGACTCTTGGGAGGGGCGTAAATATCAAAATGCCTTGATGTCAGTCTGGAGGGGTGGGTATTCCAGTCAGACTTCCATAAAAGAACTGAAATGCAATGAATGAAAGGGGTGGGCCAGGGACAGTCAAGCCAGGGAGGAAAGGGTTATGATGATGGATGTCCTCCAGCCAGGAAATTAGGTGGGCTCTATGTGATTTGCTTCTAACGCACGCAGTGGGAGCCTCCCAGTGTGCAGCAAAATCAGAGTAAGCATTTTCAATACAGGAGACTGTACAACTGGGCAAGACTGAAGGTAATGCTGCTGTCTGTACCTTCCTGTTGCTGTGACTTCTGTATCACTCATTTCCTATACTGGTGTCACTGGGTTAAAAAGTGAGGGAATCTCCCAAATGGGGTCACAGCTAACAATTAAAACCCTACACAAGTTTATAAACTTCCTCATTCTAATAAAACTAGGTAAAATATTTTGGGGTGAAAGACCTTGGTGTGTAGAAAGTTGGTTTGTAATTTAATGTTTTTCCTGTGTTCATGGATCACTTTCAATGTTGCATGACAGATCGCCTTTCAAATCTGTGAAAACAGTTCTATAATTTTCTCTTTCTCAAACAGTATAACATTAGAGCTTATCCTACCACCGTCATTTTCAACCAGTCCAATATTCATGAGTATGGGGGACATCATAGTGCTGAGGAGATCTTGGAATTCATTGAGGTACTGTGCACTATACACTTAATTCTATCACTTTTTCCACGATTACCCTTTGATGTGCTATGCCTGTGTGGCCCTGTGCTGTGTAACACATAGGGGGGAGGTTTATCAAAACTGGAGCAGTTGACCAATCAGCTTCTGTCTTTAATTTTCAAAGCTTGGCAAACTAAAGACAGAAGCTGATTGGTTGCCATGGGCAACAGCTCCAGATTCTGTCTGCTCCAGTTTTGATAAATTACCCTCATTGATTTTAGAGAGATATATTTTTATGCTGCTAACACAACTGGCCATAAACATTCTGGAAAAAAAATAAGAACACAAATGATGTAATCACTTGGTTTAACCATTTGATCCGATTTCCTGAATTTAGGATCTTCGACATCCTTCAGTTGTCACTCTCACACCAGCAAATTTTAAGGAACTGGTAAAAGAACGAAGTAGAGATGAAATCTGGTTGGTGGATTATTATGCTCCTTGGTGTGGACCATGTCAAGCACTGATGCCTGAATGGAAACGTTTGGCACGGGTAAGAGAATCCTGTCCTCTGTCTAATAATAAAGATTGCTTATCAAGACCTGATAAAGGCTGGACTTCACAATCATTCACAGTACCACTTGATTGCACTACCTTTTAAAGGTGAAGAAAGTGGGTTGCTGAGCAAATAATCTGTGTGTCTATTGTAGAGCTTTTGAATGTTGATTTTATTACTCTATGGGTAAACATAAAGTCTTCCCATAGACAGGTAGATCTCTTAAAAAGATAAAGATGACGAGCACTTCCATCAATTGTGTACTTATTATCACTGCTACCTTGCACATTCAGGGTAAAGTCATGGTGTCTGTGCAAAGGGGCCCCCAACCCACTGCTGCTCACCTTGCTCCCCCCTGCCACTTCTTCCTCCAGCAAAGCTGACACCAGAGTGCCTAGTGTCAGCTGGGGTCAGATGTTAAGGGCGTAGCAATTCATTTCTGAGGTCACATGCTCCCTTATACCCAAAAGCACCAGATATTTTGGCCAGCTGTGTCATACAACAAGTAATGTGCCTGTGATTAGGCTTTGTAGATTAAAGTGTGTGTAAACACTAACCATAGACTTCTGTTATTTGCTTCTTTATGGTCTGTTAAATGTAACATTGGAAGTGTTTTTTTTATATCTGTTCAAAAAATATTTGTTGATCTTGTCGGAAATTCAGAGCTGTGTTATCTCAAAGAAGCTGTTTAACCCTCCGAGTTCTTACCATGGACTACGCAATGATTAGCCTTTATGTTGTAGAGATCACCTTTCTGTCTACAAAATACTGTGTGTTGTCAGCCTACAACAGTACTTGGTGTATCTATACAAAAAACTTATTTTTTAGCTATGGATACCGTGGGGGAGGATTAGATCCCCTGTCGGGTTTTAATGCTATTAGAGATTTCCCCTCTCTCATTGCCTGCGGGCAAGCCGAGCTAAATGTAGAGCAGGGGAGCTGCCGCTTGTTTTGTAAAAGTGATCTGGGTGGGTATACAGCCAAGTATACACTTGTAGCAGCCTGTTTTTGTTACCCCGTGTGTTTTTTGGGGTCCCCCGTGCTTCTGGGGGCCCCAGGACCACGGCATATGACTTCATGGGGAGCAGACCAGAGAACATCCATTCTCCCATCAGCTCTGTGTGATCTGTGAGACAGGAGTGATGTGCGTTTCCTGTCTCAGCTGTAACAATCGGGGCTGCAGAGGAGATTGCGTTCAATGCTGTGATCAGTTTTCTGTACTGGAGTCTAATAGAGACACATCTGGCGTCTGATAGACCCCAGATTTCTCCATAAAGAGGACCTGTCACCTCCAAACGCTGTCACCTAGGGGCTTGTTATCCCCTGTGTGATGGTAATAAATTTAAAAAAAATTAAAACCAACCCCACCATCTGCATGTGAATAAACGCACAGATAGGGCATTGTGTGTGTGCTGAGTGCTGCCTCCATTCCATTGTGTGCCATACTGTGGTAACTGGGCAGCAACACTAACACCCACAATGTGCATTAGAGGTTAAATTCACTTGTCCAAGCACTTGTGGTAAATGGAAGTACCCGCTCAAATCTGGGCCCATCTTCCCCCTCTGCTATACTTGCCTTTTGGCGAACAGTCCTTCCCCCTCCGCCGATACGGGTGTACTATCTGTACCCCATAGTGCCATCCAACGCAACCCTGCACCATGGATTTTGAATTTTGCTTCCAAATTGTGAGCACTCGCAACCTGACTGCGCAGACCAATGAGAAGGGCTTCTTAACACGGTTAAATACAAAATATTTTGGTCAAAACTGTATTAGGGCAAGTAGATTGTCCTGAGGGACAATTGGATTGGTATCCCGCTTTGTCCTCGGGCAAGTAGTTTAAAAAAAAAAAATCCACACCCCTGAGATAGATAGATAAATTATTATGTATGCTGTGCGAATAGAAACAAACATACAGTTCTCAAATGTGACTGCAAAAGCGGAAATACACTTTAAGTTAACACATAGATAATGCAGATCTTACTTTGTAATGTAGTTACATGGCCTTTCCTAAATCTAATCGCTAATGTGTTCTTTGTATGTGTAAATCAGCCCTGTGTTTTACTTCCATTGCTTCCATATATAATGCAGACGGAGGAGATAATTAGGTATGTACAGCAATTTCTAGTTCTACTTTTAGGAATCTGTCCTTACACTAGCCAATAAAGAATGTGCATATTTGTGTATTTGAGTCTGTTAAGTTTATTGTTTTGGTATATTTTTTCATGTAATTTTTTTCTTATTTCAGCATGTAAGTGGATTGATCAGTGTTGGAAGTGTTGACTGTCAGAAATATAGCTCTCTCTGCAGCAAAGAATATGTCAACTCCTACCCTGAGATCAGGCTCTATCCAGCAAATCGGGACAATCCTCATTATTATTTGTAAGTAGTCTTGAATGTTGCGCATGTCTGTGTTGCCCATAGAAGCCAATTCTTTATGATTTTTAGTGTATGCTTAGACACAACAGCTAGACATTGAAGATACACTGTTCCTTCCAAGAAACTTTGAGCTTGGCTTCTCTCATTATTGGTACTAGGGTCATCTGCCAATACCGAGACGTGTGTAGTGTTGTTTCATACACATCAGTGTCATGGCATTACTTCTCTACATGACCTTAGGCTGTTGTTGAGCCACTGTGCCTCACACATCTGGTATGTTAGACCAAATTTCGGAATTGTGTCAACACGTAGCACCACCAGGTTCTGCCCTCCAGCAATGCATCCTGCTGGTGCAGTGGGCACCCTTGCATGGGCACATTCATAGAGGTTAATTGTACATTTGCTTATTAGTAGGAATATAAAATCTTATTTGGGCACCAGTGGGTTTTCTGCTCTGAAGTCTGTGGTGTAATGACTTTAGATTAAAAGCATGGATGGTTTCCTTCAAAGGCTAGCATCTTAATAAATGTGTGTCTCTTGTTTGTCCTAGTGCCTACAATGGCTGGCAGAGAGATGCATACTCACTGAAGACCTGGGCACTTACGTAAGTTACTAAAATTTACAATTGTCTGCATATAAAAAGTATTATCAGTGAGTCTTATTCCCAGTTCAGGGCACTTAATGCAGTACATTCATTTTTAAGTAGATAATTTAGTTCTTTTATTTTGTCTTGCTCTGTGTTTTGTAATCTGTTACTCCTGAAGATTTTTATTTTTGAAATATTTGAAGCTTGGTTTATCCAGGCAGATGCCGTTTGCACGGCACTAGCACCCCTAGATGGCGCTGACTAGTGTAGGAATTTTCAATACTTGATCCTTGTCAACTCCACCTAGGGGCACTAGTGCCGCGCAAACAAAGTTTTATAAACTAAGTCTTATATGATGATGATGATTGATCTTACTGTATAGTGTCCAAGAAAGACACCCTGTGACTTCTGTAAACAGGTCTCAGGTCTCCACGATAGTTCCTAACATCTTCACAAAACCAGAAATTAATAATGACTGCCGTGGGTTCCAGACTGTGATGGATCAGATTTAAGCTGAGCTCTAAGCTAATAGAAAAAATAAGTCCATGCAAAATAATACGGGCACATTTAATTTGTGTCATTAGACAGTACCTTTTACTTGAGTACCTTTTTTGTTTACTTGAGTACCTTTTTGTTTTTGTTCTGTAACATGTGCTTACCATATGACATTCATACCTGTCCGGTTTTGTACTCTCCGAACTGTTATAGCATAATAAGGCACCTTGGAAAGCACGTTTCTTAGGGACCCACTATACTAGGTTGCTTTAATATGTAGGCATTTACCCTCCGTTTCACGGTTTTGCCTGCCCCATTCTATGCTTTGTTAGTGGCGAAGAGGCTGCCCGTTATGTTGATGTGCAAGTATGAAGAGGGAAAGCCAGTCTATGACATTGAAGAGAAATGAAAAACTTCCCCATTATAGCTACCTTAGATTTTGGGCTCTGAAGATGTTCTAGAAGCCTACATTATAGTCCTGTAGCTATTCTGAACACTGGCAGGTAGACAATAAAATTATGTTAGCAGAGAGGCAAGTTTTTTGTATTACACCTGGCAACTGGCAAATTTAGCATATTCCACACGGATAAAACTATAGTATTAGCATAAGCTAGTTAGTAATAGTTACAAAATGCCAAAAGTGCCCTGCATGCCTGGTTTCTCTCCTCCCCGCTGGGCGCTGCCCTGCGTTCCCTCTGACACAGTGCAGCATCTAGCAGGGAGAAGAGAAACTCTCACAGGAGGCCGAGCGGTGCAGGGGAAGGAGAGCGATGTGAGCGGCCGGCCTCCAGTGACAGATTAGGAGAGTGGTGTGTGGGGGGGGGAAAGCTGTCGGCTGTCGCAAGAGGCTGAGCTCTTCTCCCGCTCAGCCTCCTGTGACAGATTTGGAGAGCGGTGCAGGGGAGGAGACAGAGCGCTCCTTGCCACACCGCTCACAAAGCCTCCTATGACAGCGAGTCAGGCTGGAGAGCGGGTACAAGCAGTCAGTGATCACTGAGTGTTTGTAAATAATTGAGAACCGAGTATGTTTGCTGTGTCCCCAATTATGAATGAATGGGAAGTGATCTACATCACTTCCTGTTCATTCATGATTGTGTACATGGTAAGCACACTATGCCCACAAGTTATGAATGAACAGGAGCACTCAGTATAGAGGCTTCCTTTTCATTTATAACAGGGGCTGCAGAAAAAGAGATTGAGGGCTCTGTGACCCCTAATATTTCCCCGAAGCCCCAACAGTAAAGTAAAAAAATGAAATATTTAATCTAAATAAAATCTAAAACAATTTTAAAGTTTACAAAAAATACATAAAATAAAATCTTTAACAAAATTTGAAAAGATTAGATTACAAAAAATTGGTTTCGGCCTGACATTTTTTTTTTTTTCCGGTTTTAAACATTTAATTTCCGTGTACCTCTACAATAAAGCTTGGCTCAATTTGCTCCCACAGAGAAAAAAAAATCCTTCCTGATCCCCCAAGGCAATCAGATATTCCCTGGATTAACAATCTCTGGTGTTATTATTTATCTGTTATTATCCAGTTATGTTCTGCACATGGAATCAGGAATGCATCTATATTTTTAAAAAAAATAAAGTTAACTGAACTAGCTCAAACTGGTTCCCAATGTAGCCTATTCCACATTTTCAAAGCTCTTACTGTGAAGAAGCCTTTCCAAATGCAAAGACTAAACTTTTTTTCCACCAGATGCAAAGGCCGCCTCTTTGTCCTATATAATGTCAAGGGCATTTGTTTACATTTATGTATAGGCCCATACTCTGGTCCTTTTCTTCCTCGTTTTGTCCCAGCAAGAAACCCTTTCCTGTGTTAATACTTGGGGGTCAGACGAACGTTGAGCACCTTCTCACTGATTGGGAATAATGTATCCTCATCTTTTCTTTTCCTTTACAGATATCTGCCTAAAATGACTATTGACCTTACATCTGAAACCTTTGATAAGAAGGTGCTGAGTGGAGAAGATCACTGGCTTATAGATTTCTATGCTCCATGGTGTGGCCCGTGTCGAAGCTTTGCTCCAGAATATGAATTTGTGGCTCGGGTAAGTTTACATCTGTGCACAGTTCGGCATCTCTCTAGTTGAATAAATTTATTTCGATTGTTGTATTCCTTTGTGCAGTCCACCTTTTCTTTCTTGTGATCCCTACGGTATTCACTGAGGTTAGTTTATCTCAATGTTTTTTTGGGGGGGTTTTTTTAAATGTCATGGACAAAAAAGCAAGCCTGGCCATAGACAAGGCAATTGGGAGAATATTCAACAAATATTCTTTTGAATAGTAAAAAAAAGAAATTAATCCGTGGGAATATTGCAGCATTCTAGGTATAAAAAAAAAAATGAACAACCACAGATAAAATTGGAAATATCGCTTAAGATACTTTTTTAAAGTGTTGGAAAATCCATTCTCTGTGGATGATTTCTAGAAAATGCATTAATGCATATAGTAATTTTCCTACAGGGTAATATATTTTTTTTTAAATCAGATAGTTTTTATTGATTGATTTTACACATTTTACACGTACAGTAGACAAACACAAAAACAAAAAAAAAGAAACCAAAAACAAAAACCCAGTAGCAAGCCAGCAGACAAATAATCCAAGAGGGGGAGGCAGGGAAGGGGAGCATAATGTCATGCAGATAGTGAAATTCGACAAGAACATGCTGACCACTTGTGTGAGCTTATGTTGAGCATAAACTAAACCAAGCCCCCCAAGAGACATAAAACCCATAAACCACTGTGCGAAGAACCGACACCCCCTGCTGCGAACACATGACTACATGCAATAGAAGCCAAGACTAGCTGTATGTATCCACCGTGAGAATGCGTGCAAGCCGGTTAATCAGAGAGGTCATGACCCCTGTACGTCAGCCAGTCGTCCCAAATAGAGTGGAACTTAGGCAAGGTACCCCTCTGTTTAAAAGTAACCCTCTCGTACGCTACCATCCTATCCAGTTCAGCTACCCACGAGTTCAATGTAGGAGGTGACGGGGAGATCCATTTACGAACCACCATCCTGGTTGCGGTAAATAAGGCCCTTTTAAGTGCTATAGCAGTGCAGTGCGTATGGATAAAGTGCGGGAGAGCTCCCCTACAGACGTCTGCTCACATTCGGCTGCTGGCCACGCCCCCAGGGTAATATATTTAAAGAAACTGCTCCCTTTCAAAGTGAAGTATTATGAATCATGGAAAAAAATCCTAGAATAAATTCTTGGTTTTGTTTACTTGGTCTCTTCAGCATAAACAGGGTTTTTCCCAAAAAGGTTGAAGAGTTTGGAGAAGGCAGAAGAAGTGAACAAACTAGGACAACATAGCTAAAAAAATCTCCAATTCAGCTAATTTTCCGGTTCAGCTATGTTGTCCTAGATTGTTCACTTCTTCTGCCTTCTCCAAACTCTTCACCAATTTGTGAATAACTCTAAAAATATTTTGTGAAATTCTCCCAAAACGTGTCATGTCTGTGGTCACCCGAAGTTTTTGTTTTTCCCAACTGAACTTTTTTTTTTTTTTAACGGGGTAATGGGGGTAATTTTTATCATTTCTTTATGGATACAGACAGACCAAAGCTGCCCATAAATAATGGAGCACGTGCTCATAGAATAGTGCCAGCTGACATTTTGAAATGTGTTGTAGGCAGATGTTTAACTCATAAGCAAGTCAAGCATGAAATAAAAAAAATGCTTGATTCAGAGAAGCATCTGCCATTCTTTCACAGTAAACAACTATGCTCTGCTCCATAGAATCATATTCTGCATTCCAGATCCTTCCACAGCACTTCGCAAATACATGTCAGAAGCAAATCCATAGGCCTTTGGCTACCGGCATTTTTGAAGGATCTGGACAGCGGAGAGTTTTTTTTATTTGAAGGTGTAAAGTGTTTTGATGTGTTGCTTTTGCCATGTAGTCCAATAATGCCACTTTAGGCTGCAGGCATCTACTCCTGCTTTAGCTGGCTTGGTGGGTTGGCTAAGGCCTTGTCTCTAGAGGAGGGGGACAGCCATTAATCTGTATATTAAATGTAAAATTACCTAGGGCTGCAACAACTAATCGACATAATCGATTATAATCGATTATTGAAAAAGTTGTCAACTTTTTCAATAATCGATTAATCGGCTTCCGATCAGTTGGCCCTGTTCACGGGTCCACAAACGCGCACCGCACCTCCTCTCCAACTCACGCTCACCACTGCCAGACCCGCCCGCATCCGTGGTCTACACGCCGCACCTCCTTCCCGCCTCACACTCTCCGCCCGCCCACATCCACGATTGGCACAGGGATTACATTATACAGCGCAATGCAGAATACCACCAGCTATAGAGGAGCACAGCAAATCCCAGCAATAGTACATTATACAGTGGTGCAATGCCGAATACCACTAGCTATAGAGGACTACAAATCCCAGCAATAATACATTATACAGTGGTGCAATGCCGAATACCACCAGCTATAGAGGACTACAAATCCCAGCAATAGTACATTATACAGCGCAATGCAGAATACCACCAGCTATAATGTACTATTGCTGGGATTTGTTGTAGTCCTCTATAGCTGGTGATATTCTGCATTGCGCTGTATAATGTACTATTGCTGGGATTTGTAGTCCTCTATAGCCGATGCCATTCTGCATTAATTGCTGTATAATTTTACACTTTCCATTTCACTATATTGCACACCACACCATTTTTTTACTTCCACCGCTCCAAGCTTGCTCCTGTGATCCATTTTAAAAAATGTATGTTATTGTTTATCCGATTAACCGATTAATCGAACGTAATAATCGGCTAACTAATCGATTTTGAACATAATCGTTAGCTGCAGCTCTAAAATTACCTGTAGTAGTAGTTCATGCTTGGGTAGTCTGTATGTAGCAGAGCTTGCCCACACATGCACATTTCCCCTTTTTATTTCTTTGTTGGTCTCCTATTAGTAGTAAAGGACACCTGTTGAGCCTTCCAGAAGTACAAACTATACCTTACTACAATAGCACTGCCACATTGAAAGGGTAACCTGCATTGACAACCCTGCCCATGAAGTTTGTGGCTGGACTACAGGACAATGTGCTAATGTTTATCTATGTCAGCACAGGACCCTCTGCTTGTGTCTAAATAATGCCAGTGCTAAAGGGAAGCGTAGCGCTGTGGCTGTCTGCATGTCACATGGGGGAGTGCTCACTGACTTCACTCACTGATGGGAAACACTAGTGGAAAACATACACGTATATTTAAGATAACATTATTGGATTAGTATATGCAAGTTGTGTTTTGCTTCTATAGTGCAGTTGTGAAGCATATTTGATGCATCAGGATTGCATTGACTAGATTTTGAATTGGATCACTTGGGGCAGTGTATATTGTTGTCATTCATTCATTAGGCTGTTGTACAGTTTATAAAGATGCAGTAAGTCCTATTCTGTCTCCCTTGGTTTACTTCTCTTTACAGGTCAGAGTGTGCAGTCTGAGCCATTTTCCTTGAAAGCATGCTGTGTTTGACTTGTTTCTGAGTTTAATGTTCATGTGCACTACTAACCCTAAAACTGATGTGACAACGTAGAATAAAATCATGTCAACTTGCTAAGTTTTTCTAGCTTTGCATTTCAAAGATCAGCAAAGCTAACAAAATGAATACCTTAATCAATTCTATTTACTGTTTAAAAGCTTCTTAAAGGGAAGGTAAAGGCTGGAAAAGTGGACTGTCAAGAGTATGGATATATCTGCCAAAAGGCTGGCATCAGAGCCTATCCAACTGTGAAATTCTACCCTTATGTGGGGTCTAAAAAGGTAATGCAAACGTATATCAAACACTCTAGTATGAATTGTTTTTAAAATATGTTTCTTTACCCAAAAAATGCAGCAGTATAAATTGTCACTGAATGAGTTTGTTCATCTGATCATGGCAAAGCTGATAACAATTAGTGACACACCACATAGCTAATTGTTATTAGTGATGCTCATCCAAGTGTCTTCATAAATGAACTAAGTTGGGTGTCAAGCCTTTTTAATTGTTTTTCCATGTAATGTGCAAATTTCGGCCAGTTCTTAAGGAATCGGCCAGTGAGCTGCCGGCTCTGTTCGGGTATACTGACAACGGCCGGCAGCCACTGTCGGAATACAAAAGAAACTGAGGGGATTCCTCGATCAATGCACTTCCAGCGTTGGAGGAATCTACTTCTTTTTTCTTTTTTCTTTTTTTTTTTTTTAGTCAGCCTGCGGATTAAACTAAAAAAAAATAGTGTATGGCCAGCTTCAGAATACATTAAAAGCAACATACCAGACCAGAGATAACAATGTACAGTATTGAAGAGTGTAGTCTAGTTTTGCCCCCCCGACCTGCTTGATTGGTCATGTCTAGCCAAGTCTTCTCTCCCCTGTTTTACTAAAACTTTATATGTGCTAGTAGGAATATTATTCACCTTGAAATATTTCTGCATAGAATTTTTTTATATCAGTTAATATATTTTCAAAAATTGATAGAGCCACTCTCAGCTCTACTGTATCTAGCAAGTCATTACTATGCAATCTTCCAAAAAAGCACCCATTAATCTTGGTAAATATATCCCCGTTTGGCAGATAAGCATTAGAGCATGAGGAATTCCCCCTTAAAGTTTATATATAGCCAAAAAAATGTTGTAGGGACGGGTTCAAATGCGTGCCAGTTTATTTATTTTGCTGTGTCCCGTTGGGGAGATTTCCCTTCTTTACCTGTCCCAGAAACACAACAGGCAGTGAAAATAAATTTCTTGAAGGGAATGCCCTTCTTAGAAAGTTATCATAAGTATTGCGGTTGGAAGATTTCTCCTCACCTCTTGTTTCGGCGACGAGTGTAAAATTTTGGATTTCACAGCACTGTGGCAGTGGTCAGCAACACACATTGGGTAAATCTACCCAGAAAGAACACAGACAGTGAAAATTGGACAGGGGTTCTATTTCACACCTACTCTATCCAAAACCCAAAGGTTTTGGCTATAGAAACACTTAAACAATTGTGGCTGGCATGTCTATATCACCTCCTATATCATTCATGACAAACATTAGGCGGCTTTTCCCCACTTATAATATGCCCATTATGGCATTCATTACTGGCACTACTGGTTTCATAAATGTTACATTCTAACAGATACCAACACATATCAATAAACATTTAGTTTCCACTAAACGAACATCTCCGTCACCCAAAAAAGTGCAGGTTTAGTCTAATCACCAAAAACAGAATGTACAATGCATATATTTTAATAACGGATATATCAAAAGCAATACATCAAAAACCCCTAAAAAATATTTTTTTGTACTGCAGGGCCTTCTTATGGTCAATGTGTTATCTATCCATATCACATAATAAACAAATGTGCACCGTATAGACAGGCATATGTACCCCTACTCGTCCAACTATCCTCAGGCATAGACAAACTTGATCTCTATTTACGTGACGTAAAGTTCACAGCGGTGCAATGGGCAAACTAACAAATACACCCTCTGTCGGAATAATAACATCTGACTACTGCAATCATCTGTTCGGAATCTGGAATCGGCCGAAAGTCAATCCATTGATGGCTCTGCCAGCAGCACCCAGCTCGATAAAAGTCAATTTTTCAATTGAATTTTGTTGAAGGAGCCAGGTGGAAAATTGTTGGCCAAATAGTGACTGCAGCCAGTCGCTGCCGTCCCTTTTTGGGTATTTAGCCAGCTGGAGAGATTTCTCCATCCACACTCTTTAGCGTGGATGGGGGAAGTCCAATGATGTCTCTTTTTCAGCCCACGAGGTTGAGCAAGAAAAATCTTAAGGTTTATGACTAGTTTAATATGTGAGGTATATTGATGATGGTGTTTTTTTCAATAAAGCTTTGATTAAAAAAAATATCCCTACTCTTACAGAAAAATGTTGAAGGTGAATATCTAGACTCCAGAGATGCCAATGATATAGTGAAGATAGTGACGGCAAGGATAGGATTTATTAAAAGTCAGCAAAAAGCACATCAGAAGGTATGTTGGATGCTTTATGAGAATTTCTTCATTTGGTTTTGCTTTTATTTGCATCCTACCATGAGATTTAAGCACCACAGGTATCCTGTTGTAAACCTGATCAATTCAGACTAGGCATATGATGAAAAAATGGATACCTTGGGTGAAGTCTGCTTGTCAAAATGAGCAATAGATCCAGAGTCATTGACAGATGACATTGTATAATAATCTTGACTTTTCTTGTGACAATTGAATTTGGCCTCCTTCCACTTCCCAAGACTCTCCATTGGCTCCTAAATATGATGGCTTCCCCAGCACAGCAAGGGTTAACTGCTCGTTTTTGGTCTAGGGACCAGAATACAGAAGATGCACTCACCTGATCCTCAGTCCTGGGGCAGTTGGCACTTGCCTCTCTCCCCCTCCGTTCTGGCTACAACATGTCCCTCTGCCTTGTCACGTCTAATGGAGCTGAAAAGACCTGCATTAGACGGGATGGCATCAGCATGGCTAAGACCGCCAGAGCCCAGGGGAGAAAAGGCTGTGAGGGGGACCAGTCTAGTAGCCAGGTAGGACCCGAGCATCTTAGCCCTTGCAGTGCATGGGTAGCCCCACTGCAAGGATTCATTTTTAACCCTTTGAAAGGGTTAACTGATAATGAGATCTGCCAGCATGGTACAGATAGGGTTAATTATGTTAACATCACCCTGCCCTTGCACTCCAGAGGGAAACGCAGTTGACTTTTTTTGATACTAGACATTAAACAAGATTTTACTTCTGTTCATTTCTCCACAGGATGAATTGTGATGGGTACCAGCAAATCATATCAAAGCAAATGATTACTTTCATGGACATTGCTCAGCTAACACTCAAACACAATACACAGTGAACTGGATATCAGTAGTAGAGCTTTGAAGAATCTGTTGCCTTTTTACTTTGTTTAACGTGTGTTTTGTTTACTATTAGCATTTTGTATCTGAATCCCACACTGGTTCAGTGCTCTTAAAGTGTATTTCCTCTTTTACAGCCCAATTGGGATAACAGCTACTTTCTATTTGTTACATGTTTCAATACTGAAGTTTTCACCTTCTATTTAATGTTAAGGAGGGGGCCAGGGAGTTGAGGTTTGTCATAAATAGGCTTAAAGATCTCAGGGCTTGTGTTCTGAATTCTGTGTTTTAGTGATGGGGAACAGAGTTTGTCCCCACTGTATCCCTCTCGACTTTCACATTGAAATTCTTCAGAGTAGCTTGTAGTCTGCCCAAAGACCTGTTCTAAAGAATCAACTAGAAAGGAACAAAATGTTTTTTTTTATTTTTTATTATGTTTAGGTATGCTTTGTGAATGGGAACACATAACAAACATAGAGGGGGTTTCTCAAATTTGACTGCAGAAGTGGAAATAAACTTTAAAATATCTCACTGAAATTAAGCTGTTCTTATAGAAAAGTGCAAACACTACAACATCCTGGAATGGATTTGTACATTGTTGGAAACCACTCCTTTTGGCTGAGTGCATCTGCACTCATTTTGTTACACTAAACTACAGTGAAGCAAGCAAAATTCCTTACTACAATAAAAACCTATTTTTATATGTATCAGTGTTTGTTCTTGTAACTTATTTGTATTACTATTTCATTTAACTTCAAGCTGGAACTCCATATACCAACAGTCTTTTTTTATTTTAGTTGAAGCAGATCTACACTATATGGTTAAGCCCTCGTTCACACCTGACCGTTTTGTAGGGCTTTCTACGCTCGACGAACGCTCTACAAAACGGTCAAAAATATAAATTGCATTGTAGTCAATGCCCTCGTTCCCACCTTGCCGTATTTCCGCCCGTCCCTAACACCCTACAAAACGGCCCACGCCTGAAAAGGTCCCGGGACTACTTTGGGCCGTTTTGTAGGGCGTTTTCCATTGGGATACAGCCAAGTAGCCTTCAGAATCGCGCAACTTTTTTTTTACCGTGAATCGCGGTAAAAAAACGCGCGACAGGCGCGCATATTACAGTACGCCTAGGTGTGAATGGGGCCTAACAGCACAATGTCATAATAGCATTGTTGCCACTTTCCAACCTTCAAAGAAATTAATTTTCTTTGTATTCTACCTTTTGTATCCTACCTTCTTGCCTTTTGCTATAGTAAGGAATTGAAAGCAGAGAGAAGTGATAAAGGCAAAAAGCAAGGTGGCATGAGCTACTGCAATGTATGAAGCACCATAAACTGCCATTTCGTACAGAGCTGAGTGTCCTAATGTACAAGAGTAAGAAATCACAACCTCTGGGTTAGGCAGCTTGAACAGTGGTCATAGAGCTTTCAGGGTCCTGTTGCTGTGCCTTGGACACATAAACACTATATGGCCAAATGTATGTAGATGTCCTTCCAAATTATTAAGTTCAGGTATTCCCAATAAAAGGTGCTTCTAATCCTACAGCATACAAAGACATCATAGAGATCTCTGACTAAGCCTATGATTGGGTAAAATGCATCAGAGGAGGGTAAACGATTGGCGGGACACCGGTGATGTGGTACAAGTTTCAATAATCTCTCCCAGCGGAATCCGGTCTGTGGCCAGCTTTTCTTTTTGTATGGGCTCATATTGGCGCAAGGACGAGCTCCCAGCTGCAAGCTCATTCCTTTCCTGAGCTGTGGAGGAGCAGTGCTTCTTTTGTGGGTTCTCCTTGCAATCAATATATTATAATATGTGCCCACAATTTGTCTGATCACTCATTTAGTATTTTATTTTATGCCATCATATTTGTAAACACTAATACAAAAAAAAATAACCCCTATACTTTCAATGTGGTCATTTCCTTCCCTACTTTAAATAGTGGTATTCTCAAACTTATGTTGTTTTTGGAATATATTGGCTGCGTTTGCTAAATTAGTTGAGTCATTAGTACACGTGTATTAGATTGTAGTGATAAGGTACCGCCACGTTTCAGCTAAAAAAACCACTGCTGTTCCTCTCTTCACCTAAAGCAGTTACTTTCATGGTACGCTTTCTAGGCATGGTCAAACCAGGACAATGCACAAGCTCTAACACAGGGCATACCTTTATGAAGGTGGTACCTACCTTTCCTCCTTTAGCACCTGAAACAAGTATGCAGATCAGGTCCGAGAAATGTTTAAACTTCTGCACTGGATTGTTCAAGGGCAGATAAAGTACTGAAGCAATAGATGTCTGTATGATAGCCAGGCAACAAGTATTTTCAGAAGGTAAGCATTGGCACCTCCATGTTTCTCTCATGACATGTTTACTTTTAAGATGAGCCCCGTGCAAAAAGAAAAAACACCACATGCTCTAGGTGGCAGTCCAAACCTTTAAACTGGCTCGGTTTAAGCCACGGAGTGTTGCATCGGGTCTTCCATAGGCGTAATGGGTATCATTCATCAATGTGTCTAGGGGGAACATTTGTCTCATTGTGTGTTGCACATGGCAACTGGTCAGAATTCTTTTTTCCCTTTTGTTCACTGTAAAAATAAAAGATACAATCTAGTTCCTATGAATTCTACAGACTGAGACCATTCATCCCTCAGGCACATTGATAAATGGAATCCAGTATGGTCTGGTGTGAATAGCCATATATTAGTTGCTAGACTAATTTGATTAGATATGCGTGTCACTGATATCAATATTTTATTCAATGTTCAGTTTCTATGCAATTATTGCAAGTTGTCTTTGCATGAATGTAGGCATACTAGTTTATGTATGCAAGCACTAATTAAAGGACAACTTCCTAAATTATTCCTGTAAGTAAGCCAACCCCCCTCCACCCCATACATGCAGTGAGAGGCGTAACTAGAAACCTCA